TCTCAAAGCACAGGTCCCTGGGAAGGATATTACTAGAGCAGGTGTCAGTTGCTCAGGCAGGAGACAGTGCGCCAGTGGACAAGGACACTGACCTGGGCTGGGGTAGTGGGGAGGCAAAGAAAGGAAAAGGGCCCTTTCTTTCCAGCCAGCCCTGCCTCCTCTTGCTCTCTCGTCTCCATTAAGTTTCAGGAACCCACATTCCTAATGGAACTTGACTGAGCAAACGTGCTCATGGGTAGGCTTGATGGGGACCCCCCAAAATAGCACCTTAGCTACCAAAAATCTAAATGGCCTAATGACAAGCTGCTGCGGCTACAGACTCAGCCCGATGTCTCCCATCTGCCATGGAGTTAGAGAGCGTTTATGTCCCCCCAAAACATCTGGAGGTGCTTCGAGGCTAAAGGCACATGTTGGTGGTTAGTTTGCACTGGAGCAGTGCTAATAGAAATATCTCTGTGATTTACAAGTTTCTAGCAGGCACATTATAAAGATTAAAAGAAACAGGTGACATTAAATTTAATACGCTCGCTTATTTAACCAACATATTCAAAATATTATCATTTCACCATGTAATTGATATAAAAAGTATTAATGAGCGATTTGGCATCCTTTTTTTATACTAAATCTTAAACATTCCGTGCATAGATTATCCTATAGCACATCCTATTTTGGACTAGCTACCTTTCACATGTGACTAGTGGCTACTGTATGGAACAGTGCAGACGTAGAACATTTCCACCATCATAGAAAGTTCGATTAGACAGTGCTGTGCTGAAAGACCAAACCAGCTGTGGGAAGAAGAGAGACAGGTGAGAGCAGGATGGACTACAGAGTTACTGAAGTAATAATTACAGCAGAAATGGGAACTGCAAGGATTATGATGTTCTCGGAGCCCCCAACCCCACCTCTAAGTGGAAATTAAAATGGGCTTTTAAGAAAGACCCAGAGCCCATGCCTGCGTAGAGAGTATAGCCATTACTCAAGGCAGCTGCTGGATGAACCTCCTCCATCTCAGCTCTTCTGATCTGTTTAAGGAAGAGGATGGGACAGAAGATCACCAAAGTCACATATGTTCTTTCAATAACAATTCTGGGTTTGCAATCTAATTTGGTGAAGCAGATACAGAAACACGATCAAATTACATGCGCCTGTGCCTGTACGTGCATGTGTGTTTGTGTGTATGTGTGTGTTCTTGGCTGGGGAGAGAAGGTGTGAAATACAGAAGTGATAACATAGCCACCAAAATCACCTCCTCATCAGAGGCCATCAGAACACAAGAGAGCGGTAGAGGGTTTATCAAAAATTGTGAGACACAAAGGAAACTCTTTGAGTGTGGAAAGAATGAGATGAAGGGCACTAGGCAATCAGGTGTGAGAG